TTCAGGTTTTATTTATTTTTTTTTAATGTTTATTTTTTAATTAATTTATTTATTTATTTATTAAAGATTTCTGTCTCTTCCCCACCGCCGCCTCCCCTTTCCCTCCCCCTCCCCCAATCAAGTCCCCCTCCCTCATCAGTCCAAAAAGCAATCAGGGTTCTCTACCCATACACTGAGACAATGGGGATTGGGAATTCACCAAGGCCAGCTGGCCTGGGTCTGAAAAAGCCTGGGTCAAAACTGGTCTCGCTGAACATAGCGGACAAGGAGGACTACTGAGACCTCAAGAACAATGGCAACGGGTTTTTGATTCTACTGGACCTATTGGTTACGTGGGAGCCTAGGCAGTTTCGTGGATGCTCACCTAAGTATCATTTTTAAAGAACCATAAAAGACATGTGAAAATAACTCTCTTTAAAAAAAAAAATCTCTTGAGAAACATGTTTACAAAGTATTGATGTAACATATTTTATAAATTAAACATCACAAATAGGAACTTATCAAAAACCATCTCATTCCCACCTACCTAAACTCTTTTATCAAAAGAAAATAAATAAATAAATAAGCTAAATGCTCAACCTAAGAAGAACAAGGACATCCAAATAAAAACAAGGAAGGTGGTGTGGGGATGAGAAAATGCACATAGGCACAAAGAAGGTGAATCTATAGGAAGGGATGGGCTCTTGGAAGGCAAACTGGAGGTACCAGGACCAGAATGACTTAGAGTACCCATTAGCTCTCCCCTCAGTCAACAGACCCAGTCCAGCTGGAAACGTGTAGGAAGGGGAGTGGCCAGGCATGCAGGAAAAAGGGTATCTAATGAGATAGAGATGGCATCCCCTACCTCAAACTCTTTACCAACCTGACAGGACCACCTGCTTCTGCTCTCTGCTCCAGCCAAACACTTAGCCCATTAGTCAAGAGGCCCCTTGATCTACGTACTGGGGTTCTGGTTCCACATGGCAGCATGGGAGCCACTTGGGATCACAGAGACCTGAGGGTTCAACCAAGTGTACCGGGTATGGCCCCAAAGAGATTCTCCCTTAAAGGTAACCAATTGTTGGAAATAGAAAACATTATACAAGGCTAATACATAACTACTGAAAACTAATACCACACCCCAGCTATCTAAGGTGGACAAGGGCTGACAAAATCCTCTTGTATGTCTTGGCTGATTTACCTACCCGAGATACCAAATTCTTAAAAGCCATAATAAAAATTGGTGATAAACATAGATTCAAAGTGCCCATGCCCACAGTTGAGCGCGACTGATGTCACATAAACCTACCTCTGTACACTAGTCCTGTCATAAATAATACTTCTGATCCACAACGCCAAGAAGCAAACCCTTCCTTCCTGCCCTAACTGCCTGGAACTCTCAAATACCATGGAAAATGCAGCTAGTGTTCCATCCTTTATACAGTCAAAGACCTGGAGGTTACTCCCAAGGCCACTGTACATTTCCTTTTTAAAATTAAGAAATGGGGTGAGGGGGACTGAGAGACAGGTTAACAGATAAAATGCTTACTGTGCACGCATGAGGACTTGAGATCAATTTCTAGAAAATATATAAAAAGCTGGGCATGGTGGTGAGTACATGAGATTCTACAACTGAGGAAGAAGAGGAGGACCCTCAGGGCTTGCCAGCCTAGTCTAATCCCAGATTTGTAGGTTCCATATCAGGAAAGGTAGTTGAGTGCAAAGGAACACAAAGGTTGACCTTTGACATTACACTTAGGCACCTGGCACACACACATGCACATCCATCCAAACAAGTACATACATATATAGCCACCCCTTCCCCACCCACCACACAAACACACCAACCAGTTACATCACAAACGATGAGAACTGTTTGCTTTGAACAGTATTTTATTTGTAATATTCAGCACTAAAGAGCTATCTACCTACCTTTCCCGCCTTATATAACATCCTGTGGTGGACAAGGAGTTTTTCCAATCTGTATCTGCAGCTGTAGTTGCAGCAACTCAGAAGTGATGGGGTGGACCACTGTGAGAAGTGTAAACAACCCCATATTCACCCAAAAGGGAAGGCTGCTTTCTTCCTCCCTGGGCACTGGGGTGGTAAAGGAACCCAGCTGGGAAACAGGCTGGCAGAGCAGAGAAGGGCAGAGTGCAGGGTCTTGGCGGGAAGGGGGGGGGCGATGACAGCTAGTCAAAAGAGGGTGCATTTAAAGCCAGCAGCACTTCTGGTAAACCATAGTAGTGAACACAATCAGAGTGGTAGGTGGGTTGTTTAAAGAGATACAAGACCCACACAAATGGAAGTAGAAGACAACACAGCAGCAAGCACATTCTTACAAGCAATCGGATAGAACATGGACAGGTTCTGGAACAGTGTCTCTTCAGACACAGAATGGCTCAAAAACCGCAAGAAACATGGTTCAGCTACAAAATTCTCAGAGGCTCAGCAAATGCAAGGCAGAAGAGAGCCCAGACCACTGGTCTCCCGTACTCGCACCACTGATGAAGCCAGAGATCCCTTTCTACAGAGGAAGAAACACAGAGCATAAGGCAGCTGAGTGGAGGTTGTAGGCTACCTCTTGAGATGTTTGATCTCTTGCCCATCCCAGAATGAGGTTACAGGGGTTCAACGAGACTGGAAGTATAAGCTATTAGAACTGGCCAGGGCCTTGAAGGGCCTTGTCAGCTTACCAGATATAAAAAGACCACAGAGAGAAAAGGAGGAGACAGAAAACAGGGACAGCATGCAGCCGCATAGCCAGAGAAGGACCCCAAGCATAACTCTTCACCCAGCACAGTCAGCAGTAACATATCAGAGTGGGCTGGGAGGTCAGCTCTTGGAAAGTAGCTGTACCTCACATCTCAACCAGTCACCTCCCTCATTGGTAGAACACAGGTTTGTGGGAAAGGGTTGGCAGGCACAAAGGATATTGCTAAGCACCTTACTCCATACTGGGTAACCCGCCATCCCATCTCCCTCTGCTGAACTACTCCCCTTATACCTTCACCCTTGCTAATTTCATCTACCAAGAACCCATGAGACTCTCTCATCCTAGCTTTTCCACTCATTTTCCCCATGTGGGCTGCTTGCTTCATCTGCAATTCATCCTGCTAGGGACATCTTCACAAAGCCTCTGGGATGGGCTAGGAGGTATTAAAACCCAGAGAGGAGAGGCAAGCTGGCCAGAGGAACAAAGAAGTCAGAATGCAACAGGGACACAAGATAGTGTCTTGGGTGGGATTAGAACAGGTCCTTTTCTGCTTCCTTCAATACTGAGGCCAAAGCAGAAGGAAAGAGGGAAAAAAAAAAAAAAAAAACAGGACATGAACACACAGTGCCCCTATGAGACCGCCTCGGTAGTGAAAAGCAAAAGCAAAGAACAGAGCAGGGCTACTTTGAGCTGAAAGTACAGGGTGGCCTGGGTGGGCTGCCTTTGGGAAGTTCTTTGACAGAGTAAATCTTAAACTCCCAAGAAAAACTCCAATTTGAGTACATATCAGCACTGTACCAAGGGAGCAGATGGTGCCAAAGAAATTATAAGGGCAGCTTCTAGTCCTAATAATTCTTGCAGCAAAGTAGCAAGGCTTGTTTATCTCACTTGTGCTCATGAATGCAGGACAAAAAAATGGTCTGGGAATGAGATGTGATTGGCAATGAGTACTACTCAAGTGAAAGGATGCATGTTTACATGGGACACATTCTCATGCAATGTTAGAAAAAAGGTAAGATTAACTCAGTTTTCAGGAATACAGCACAAGCTGATAACACAAAGCACACTTAAAGTTTCCATATTATAAAAAATGCAACATGAAAGATATTTCACATCAATTTTTAAAGTCTTTTGTATCCCAAGCCTATTATTTCTGTGAGGCATTTAATACTTGGTTAAAGTGACCAGAATGGGGTTGAAAGCATGCATGCCCTCTATGCTAGTGGCTTCTCAAACACATGCTAACATGTAGGCTCCACGGGATGTCCCATACACCCTGCGGATACTCTGCCTTCCTCTGCCTACTCACAGCACTTCTTCAATATAGGCACAATGCAAACACGCTGACCTTCAACACTGCAAAAATGTGCCATAAGTGCCAGGAAACAAAAAGGAGCTTAGCTACAGAGGTAAAAGAGGACAGCAAATTTCATGGGGGTAACCCTTGCCTATGATATACCATCCTGGAGCAGAGAAAGAAAACGAGGATAACAAGCACAGGAAACACTTGGTTCTTGAGCTGGCACATCATAGCTACATCCCACGCCATCTTCAGTACTAGTCAGTGTGACATTAAGAGACGACATTTATTGAAAAACTACTAAAAAGCTAACACATATATTTGAGCTTAGTGAGAACTCTGCAAGGAAGCATTATCATTCATGTCTGGGGAATGAAAAACAAAACCTAGGTATTCAACAATGGAACTCACACAGCCACAGCAGCAGTCTGAATGCAGGTCAGACAGCAGCACTGCAAGCCACAGCCCACCTCACACTAAGCAACAAGCTCTCAAAGAGCACGGTGTGCTTTTCATGGCACAAAAGCTAACACAAAGCTTTCTGGTTTTCTTAGAAACTATGTTTATTTAACATTTTTCTTCATTACCCATAGGGCATGTGAGAAATTCTTATTTCAGTCCACACTGGGCAAGCACTAGGAAACTATTTCAAACACCCAAACTATGGCAGCTAGACAAAATGACCTGAGCAAACTGAACTAGAGAGAAAATGAAAGCCAAAACTTCCCAAAAAGTCAAACTTTAGAAGTTTGTCATTTTCATGAACTATTTAGGAGCTCTCCTACCTGTGCTTACTGTTCTATGGTAAAGCCAACGGTGTGACAGGAGGGAAAGAAAGGTAGAGCCCAGGTGACAAAAACCTGCTGAAACGCCATCTGAGTCAGCACCAAGCTCAAAACATTTGACTCCTATCACACTTACTTCCACTTCTAAAGTGGCCTGCGCCTCTCTCTCATCACCTCAGTAAAGCAGGGCTTCAAAGCACACACAAGTGTGTTGACTTACCCGTGCTGGACATGTGGTTCACACGGGCAGGATTCAGCAGCTCCACTGGCTGGTCTCTGCCAGAAAGTCCATCTAAGGAGAGGAGACACTGGCTTCAGAACCGGAAAGTTGAGCAGAAAGTTTTCGGCAATGAATGGTATTGGAAAGCATGTGTGCCCCCTCCTCCAGAGCCACCGGCCCCACCCACCTTCTTTGAGAGGACAGTTTCAGTTCCAGCACTGATTATTTTTACTTGTCAGAGAAAATGAAAGGCTCTTTGTAGAATAATCAAAACAGCCCCCAGTTGAGATACGGTGAACTGGGATTCCTGCCTGAGGGCATCTGGTTGAGCTAGCAGGGCTCACTTATATTTAGCCCAGACTGGGCTTATCAGAAGAGGGTTTTTCTGCAGAAACCGCAGGCATTAAGATAAAGAGCTCCCCCTCTTGTGAGATAACAGTGAAGGGTCTGGACTTAGACACAAACACAGCAGCTGGGGCACATGTGGCAGTCACAGGGAGCAGGGTGCTGGGGTACTCCAAGCAGTCTTGGGGAATGCCTTGCCAGCAGCACTAGTGGCCTAACACAGATTGCACAATCATTTCTTTGAAATCCATTTTTAGATCATATTCAGGAACCAATCTGGCTATTCTGACTTGAGGCATGAATAAGACTGGAACCCACCCACCACCAAAGCCTGACACAGAATGGATGTAGATCTCCTGGTACCTCTGTGTTCTCCAAACATGAAGGAAAGAAGACCCACAAAGCCTCACAGAACCAGACTTTTCCTTTAAAATCTACTTGTTCTGCAGTGACATGCATGCCATTGCAGACCTGCAGCAGCATTCACTCATGACAGGGCAGTCATGCAGCTCCCAGAGAGAGGGTTTCAGAGCAGAAAACAAGCAGATAACATCAAGATAAGCAAGGGAGCCAACCTGTGCATCTTCGGAGGAATTCCAACTCAAAGACAGAAAGAAGCCTTGGCCCAGGAGACCCAAAGCATGCCATCCACGGAATAGATGGCAACATGCCATCTGAATCACACAGGAGACAGCTTCGCACCACTCAGAATCAAGGTCTAGCAACTATTAGCGTTTCATCATTGTCAGAAGAAGCCCGCTAAGCCTATCTGGGATACTGACATCTATGCTCCACGGAAGACTCAGAAGTCACTAACACATTTTAAGGCAACCACTAGTTCCAAACAATCACCCTGCCACTTAGAGGCTGAAGGCTTTCTCAAGAGCATGGCCACCTGAGACAGCCTGACTTAAGAACTGTAAAGCCAACAGTCTCCTCAAACCTTTGTGACTACTCAGAAATAAACCTCGAGAGGCAGAAAATACTTCCTTAGCCTTTCTTTCTTGCAAAGAAGTGTTCATTGTAGAAAGCAGTAAAATGCCCCAAAAGGGGCATGTATGTATGTGGTGTATGCGTATGTATGTATTAAAACATCTTAAATTCACCATGAAATCCAAAGACCACCTAGGCTGGTTGCAGGATTCCAACGGCTAAATCAGGAGCAACCTGCAGGGAAACCTCCAGCCTTACTCTGAGACCCCTTAGGGTTCTTTTTGTTCCTGCTACCAGTGCATCAGCAGAAGGCTTCTACCAGTCTCCTCTATTTCCACCTTATACTTCCATCTGGGAAAATCCCAGGTTTAGTAGCTAACCAGTTAGGAGCACTCCAACCCTGGTACCATTTCTGGAGTGTGGGCTTGAGTTGGTGTCTGCCCTGAGCTCTGAAGGCCCAATGACTTTGGATGACACACAAGTGCCTATTACACTTCTGCAAGAAACTTCACACTTCAAAGTGGCTGGTGCACAGTTTAAGTTTCACAGACAAAGTCTCTCTGTGTGCCTGTATATTTTCATCAATATGTGGTGTGAATGAGTCTTGGCCCATATACAGGATCTCTTGGCTTTTTACTGGTATATGTCTCTTAGCCTTCAGGATAATGTTTACTGTGAAGACAAAGTGCTGTCTTGCCTCCGACAACAATACAATGATAAATAACATGGATTCTACACATAATTCAGACCTTAAGCTTGACATGTTCCAGCCTGTCCTACAACAGCGTATGTTGTACCCTGACACCCACTGACTCTGCTACCAGCTGAATGAACCTTCTGATTTACTATCTACCTATTGCTCACCTTGACCCTAATATAGAGACTGGGGCAACTTCAAGTCTAAAATATAAAATAATAATAATAATAACAACAACAACAGCTTATTCTAGAAACAAACAAAAAGCTTATATCTTAAATTTCATTCTGAATACAGGATGAAAACTTGAGTTCTCTTTACCAAGATGCGAGCCAAACTTTGTCCTGCATATCCACACCAGGGATGTGTTGCCTACTTGTTACTGCTATGGTACTGCAAAGCCTGCACTCAAATAACTCTTGTTTTACTTAACAGCAGTCACAAAGCACAGGAGCAGTCATGTGAGCAATTCAGGCACACCAACGAGAAGCTGCAAAGCCCACTTAGTCCACCTCACTATTACCATAAGAGGGTGAGTGGCCCATGGGACAGTTTTGAAAGGGCTCACACACAGAACTTCCGTGAACGCTTTGTTATGTTTGGTCTACTGCATATGTTAGCTGTTACTCTTTTGATTTATGAATTAAACCTTATTACTGGTACATGTGGACAGAAAAAAATAGCACTTACAGGAATCAGTACCCTCTGTGGTTTTGGCATTCACATCTTGAAATACAACCTCATGAATTCGGGGGCAGCTATCTTTGTATTCCATGTTCATTATTAAAGATAAAAATAAACACCCATATGAAGATGCACATGATCCCCAAAGTCCCCAGGTATAGAACTGGGGTGGTTTTGAGATTAGTTTTAACTGTCAGTGTGAAAATCTATAATCACATGGATAGGAAGACTTAATGAAGAATTATCTAGATAAGGTGGGTCTATGGGAGTGTCCATGAGGGATTGTTTTGATTGGTGACTGATGTAGGAAGACACACCTTAATGTAAGAAGCGCCATTTCAGGGATAGGCTCTGAGCTATTTAAGAATGAAGAAACCCAGCTGAAGACAAGCAGCCAGCAAAGATGCAGTCATTTCTCTCCACTCTGGACTGTGGATGTGCTCTGATTAGCTATCTGAGTTCCTGCCTTCACTTCCCCTCACTGATACAAGTGTAAGCCAAATCCTTTCTCCCAAGAATTGCTTCAGTCAGGCTGTTTATCACAGCATCAGAAAGGGAACTAGAACAGAGATCATTCATCCTTATCCTGGCTCACAGACCAGGGAACACACTCAACTTTACCAGACAAGAGATTTTATGAGCCCATCTCTAGTCTTCCTGCTCCCACCTTTATATACTAGATCAGTGAGTAGGGTTGGCAGCTCCAATTCTGGAATCAGACTAGTAATCAGACTCCAAGTCATCTCACTAGCCTAAACTGGATATGAAGGAAGAAGAACCAAAGACATTCTACTGCTCAGAAAGTCTCAAAGACTTCAAGGGCCCAATGCCAGGATCTGGACCAAAAGTCATATTCTGTTTTTCTTTTACTAGGGAGACTGCTGAACTCTAAATATGGTATCCAAATCCCTAGTCCTGCATCTTCACATCTTTGAGTACCAGACTCAAGACAGCTAGAATCCAATCATGGATTCAGCACTACTGTGATAGGACTTGTTGGCCTCCAAGGTAAGAAGCAACTCTGAAAAGAGGATCATCTGCAAACACACATCAACTCTAGGAGGCTGAAACTCCCAGAGTCACTTGCAGAGCTCTTCTACAAGTGAACCTTTCTTCATTCAGCTGTTCACAGTAAGCCAACTGCATCCTGTGCAAGGTGTGTTGCACATGGATGTTTGTTTCTTATTCTTTTTGCTTGTTTGTTTGTTTGTTTTTCATGAGAACAGCCAAGAGGTCTGATCTTTCACCATCAGTCAATAGATTACTGTGTTGCAGCTGGCATCTCAATGCTCAGTCAGCTTGCTGGTCTTGCGCCCAGTACCACACCTTCCTGCCCACAATAGTTCTGTACAGTTTTTGATACATTCTTCTCTAGAAGCAGCCAGAGTAATGGTGGCCCCTGCCCCCTGCACTATCAAATTCACAGGAATCGGTTTCTGAACTTCCCACTGCTCCCACACAGAAGAGAACTACAGCCTGGCTGAGCCTGTGACCCTATTAAGTCTCTCAGAGTTGCTTTAAAGTATTCGGTGTCAAACTCTCTAAGTGTTTGACATTTTCACTTCAATATTAAAAACATTATTAAAACATTAAAGTTTTAAAACTGTTTAAACATTTTAAATGTCTACTTTAGTTTGCTGGTGCACATGAGTGACGGGCATCCTTGGATCTTGTTAAACTCTGACCCTTCCACGCATTGCTTCCCTCAAGCTCTTTTGATTTAAAGTGGCGGTCCTGTTGCTCCCTTTCCAAACTGTATGTTGCTTTTTCTTACAGTACTGGGCTGGGGCTAACAGCACTAGGAGAGTGACGAGGACTCCTGCCCTGTTTCTAGTCTTCCTGGCAATGTTTTGGCAAGAAGCATAGCACCTGTTGTAGGTTTCTCACTGGTCACTTTTACCATGCTGAGGAAGCTGCCTGGCGTTTCTGGTTTGCCAAGACTAATTTTTAATCAGGTATGTTTACTTGATGTATTTAATTTTTCTGCTTCAGTCCAGACCACTGAAACCCCTCCCTCCATCTGAAAATATCTCAAATGCAGACAATGTTGTTTCCCTGGTCAAGTTAGTTGAGGTCAGAGACAGCAAGAAGTTAGAGTGAGGAAATCCCCTCCACTCTGGAGTCAAATCTTTCACACTCTTCTCGGCTTAGTGTCACACTTCAACCATTTTTACAATCAAACAAAAAACACTAAAGCTACTTTGTAGGAGACTGTTTGATACAGGAAAGGCCAAGGTATTTATGATGATGAATGAATAGCATGTTCTTTCTCCTGAAGATGTTTTCAGACATACGGTTAATAGAGAACCTATGGATAAGTGGCAGCCATAATTCGGTCTGCTGGTATTCAGTCTTTCAGTCCACTGAACTTTTTAAAAACAATCTTTACACCAGTTGTGGGTTCCAAAAATAA